AGAAATCATTCATGTTTCAGTATTTATTATCACATCAAAATTGAAACATGATTGTGCAATGCTGTTATGATAAGAAGGCTTCTAGCTCCAGCTCCCCTGATAAATCTATTTCTTGTTCAAACTTCAAAGTACAAAATTTCTAAATCAGTCGGCATAAGCCCACATAACTGCATATGACCGTAACACAATCGAAAATAGGAATTGGAAACAGCATGCAATATGTAAGACTATAGAATTCTTTACATGTTATATAGAATTCTTACAAACACTTCTTTGAAAATCGTATTTCTATTAAAGACTTCTAGGAATTGTGTATAGAATTCGAAAAAAGAATTCCTTTGTTTAAAAATTAAATTTAAAATATATATTAGACAGCTGTTTTCTTGTCTCAAATTAATAAATCAATTTTTCTCTTTAAAAAAAATGGAACAGCCAATTAACTACAATGATTTTTCATTATCAAACAATACACCATTGATTCAACCAACACAAACTATTGTTAATTCAAAATACAAAAAAAGGAAGTGTGACGAATGTAATAAAAGAAGGAAACCTTTAGATGAAAGTCATCAGATTTGTCACGTCTGTTACAAAATAAAGAAGGTATATAAGTACGGTTCAAGTGGAAATAAAATTATTGATGATTTTATCAGATATACACAAATTAATTTAGTTCAAAAAAATGGAAAAATGGAGTTTGTTCCTTACGGACAATTCAAAAATGTAGTATTTATTGCTGAAGGAGGTTTTAGCAAAATTTATAAAGCTACTTGGATTGATGGTCCAGTATATAACTATATTCATAAAATTAGTATTCGTTCCCAAAATTATACAGTTGTTCTCAAAAAGCTCAATTATTCTAATAACATCACATCTAAGAAGCTGAACGAGGTACATAGTATACTAATTTGATAAAGAAATATTATCATGGATGAGATAAATAATTAATAAGCTTTCTTTAATTTAGCTCAAGATATTCTATGAACTTTCTTCAAAACTTAAAATCGGTCCTAATGATAATTTTATTGGAAAATATTTTGGAATTACTCAAGATCCTAATTCTCAAGATATCATGATTATCATGCCATATTATGATTTAGGTGATTTGACACACTATATCACTAAAGATTTTTATAATACTTGTTGGAGAACAAAGCTAGAGAAATTAAGTGATATAGCACGTGGGCTTACTCAAATACATGAGTTAAATATTATCCACAGGGATTTTCATAGTGGTAATATTTTTTCCAGCCAAGTACAATATGCATATGAGAAGTATTTTCTTAATTATACAGCAATAGGTGATCTTGGTATAAGTAAATCTGCAACTGAATCTGTAGATGATAAGGAGAATTATGGTATTATTCCTTATATGGCTCCAGAGATTTTTCGAGAACAAAAATATACTAAGGCTTCAGATATATATAGTTTTGGAATGATTATGTGGGAGTTAATGACAGGTAGGAGACCTTTTTGGGATCGAAATCATGATATAGAACTTATTATTGATATTTGTGATGGTTTACGACCACCAATTGTAACAAATGCACCTAAAGGCTATATTGAACTAATGAAAAAATGTTGGCATTATGATCAAAAAAAAAGACCAACAGCTACTAATATAGAGGAAAGAATTAGAGGAATATGGAGTAATGAAAGATCCATTGAAACTAAAATTATAGAATCCCCAGATATTGGACTCATAACAAAAAATAATCCAGGTGCTATTTATAAGAGCAGACCTTTAAGTGGCATGATTAAATCTGCAACGTTTTTAATGAATTCAAGAAGTCAATCTATTAATTTAGAAAAAGCTAAAAGAAGGTTTGAAGATGATTTAATTGAAGATAATAATGACAATGATGGTATGATATTAAATGTTTTCAAGTAAATTTGAATTGGTAAAACTTTAATAAATCAAATATTTTTAATTGAAATTCATATATAGGTCAAAGTATTAAAAGAAAAAAGTTATATGAAGATGATGGTAATTAATTTTCAACAATGTGTCAATTTCATAATTTAACTCTAATAAAATCTTGTATATTCTTTAGATTATATTATAAAGGACGCCAAATTAGATATTGATACAAATTTTAATAATGGTATGTAAATATACTTTTTATATATAGATGGTAACTTTTAGTTTATATTACAAACCTAATTTCTTTAATTTAAATTTAGGATATATTTCCAAGGAAATTGAATTCGATATTAATTAATACCTAAATTATCGAGCCATTTATTTTAACAAGAATATTACCTCAATAGTAATTGGTTATGTATTAATATCTAGTATTATAGCGAAATCAACTTAGTACTTATAATTTACATTATAGTATATTTATCATTTGCTTAAGAATCTAACCTAGTGTGGAATGGACCACTAAGGATAGGCCTTAGTTGATACAGCTCTAACAGTCACATGCTGTTTTAGCCACAGTTAGAATTAGATTTGCGTAAAATTGATATTTTTTGCCAATGTCATATTTTCATTTGCTTATTTTCGCAGAATTTTTGAAAAGTCATATGTTATAATTGCTTATTTTTTGGTTAAATTTGGCATTACCTAATAATAGTGATGGTAGTATGCGAAAGTTAATAGGGAATGAAAAAAATTACCAAGGTGGATATTTTAGCTAAGATGATATTGAAAAAAAATGAAACGTTGTAAATCATAAATGTGAAAAAATTGATCAAATGATTTTTGTAAAAAAATGATATTATAAAGTCATATGGTTAGATTGCTGGCAATTTGTGAAGCCACATGTTGAGTTTGCTTATTTATCTTAATAAAAACCTTTCGTAGAGCGATTATAAAATTTTTGACCTTTCTTGTTACCTATATATGTATTGCATATTACTGGCATTTTTTTTTGGTTTAAAACATGATACTATATAACAAAATTTATACGCAGGTGCTACTGCGTAGCAACGCACCCCCTATATTATGTTTATATGTATTAAAAAGTCAAAATTAGTATACTAAACCCTTTTTAGTCTTGTAGAACAGGCAAAAATACACATAGAATGATTAGAACGTGTACTTTAAAGGCTCTATAACAAGTTCAAAAGGACATAAGGTTTGCACCGCGTTTATTCAAGAAATTTATGATATCACGTGATTAGAGTTTGGAATCGATTAAGGTTAAATGGGGTGATTAATTAATGGTTAATCGATTAAGGTATCTCAAAAATCGGTTAATCGATTAAAATTATCAACACATAATTCTGGTCAAATTATCTAATGCGGCCCAGAGCTGTGAATTTTTGGTCACGTGTTCTCCGAACTTGGAAGAATTTGTATTAATTTTTTAATGATAATAATAATAAATAAGACTTTCCTATAACTAAATGTATGATCAAAAACAATTTGGTGCAATCTGCGGTCAAAAAAAAAAAATTTTAATATTTTAAAATTAATCGATTATTAATCGATTAAGGCCCTTGGTTAATCGATTATTAATCGGTTAAGGTTTTTTTGGTCGGTTCCAACCTCTACACGTGATCATAAATGATTCATATATAATAAATTCCAAAAAAGGCGCTGCGTAATTATTCTAATAATTACAGTTTGTCAATAACAAATATGATTTGAACGTTTTTCAAACAATAAAATCTTACTATGATAATTAAGTAATGTCAAAATTTCTTTGGAAACAAAGCATAAATACACAAAATATGTCAAATGATAGAATAAATTATAAAATTTCACTTTTTTTCTAATATTAAATATAAAGAAACAAATTTAATTATTATTTAAATAATTGTGAAATCAAACTTTAATAATACTAATTATACAACGTAATAGTCGCAATATGTTATGACTGACTCCGTTAAAAAGTAATATAATTATTTACGTCCTATTTAAAGAACTTTTACATATTGTTCAATAATTTATTTGTAATTTTTCCAATAAACTTTGAAGAAATTCTTATAATCTAAGTTTGTAATTAAAGTATTCAATTTTTCAATAAAAGAAAATGACAGTAATTAGAGATTATCAACCAAACCTTTATGTACAATTCAAATTCATTCATAGCTATTTGGGTCTAAGTAAATTTTTTTTTTTGGGCTAATATTTCTGATTGTCCTATTGGACTCCGATCTTATAATTATTTGGTAACCTTCAATAAAGTCAATGCATGAATATAATTTAGTGCAATAATTTTTAACAATTTCAATCACCATCAAAAATTGCAAAACAACACAACAAGATATATTATAATTTAAATGTGAATTCACCGTACAGTACATGTTCCGAGTTAATGATCATGTATTCTATTCCCTCAATGTTTGGTTAATCTTTTGTAAAATGTTTGCAACTGAATTTGTACGTTATTATAATATAACTTTTTTGTGTAATTTGCATGTATTATCAAATGTTTCTTACTATAATTGTAATTTTTTAACGGAATAAAATCGGAATTTTTTCCGTTATCGTGATAAAATTGGCGGAATAAATCTGGGTCTCTGTGACGGGTATTCAATTGTTGTTTTTTTAAAAAAATCTTGGTTATTTTTTGCAAAACCCAATAACCATTATCTTGTTTATTTATAAAAAAAAATTCTATTTGTATTTTGCCTGTTGTCTGTTTTAACACTATACTTACGAAAAAGTAACTTGCCCGCTCAAAAAAAAAAAGAAAAGAAAAGATACGAAATAAATACGAAGTAAAATGAAAAAAAAAATTTTTCGATAAAAATTTTTTTAGTATCCGAATAATTACTTTTATAAATAATAATAATCGAAATTTCGACATATTAAGAAAATTTTTTGTTTAATTTAAATCTTACAAAAAAGGGTTGAAATTTTTATACATACATAAATGTTTTACATTCTTGGGATATACAGTATCTTAAAATTTTTTTTGTTTGCGTTTGTTCATGTTCTTTTAATAATAAAGAAAATTGGTAAAATGAGTAAAAAAAAAAAATAAATAAGAAAATTTGCTGTTTTGTTCTATGCCTTTTACATTTACATAGGTGGATATATCGAGTTAAATTTGTGGTTCTCCAAGTTCACTTTCTGATGGTGGGAATGTCATATAATACGGAATATTTTGCATCAAATCATCAAAATAAAATAATGCATTTAAATTCGTATTATGGGCAGACGTCTTCAGTCTTCTTCGTGTTTGTCGAGGAGGTGATCCATAAACTTCCTCGTGCTTCATCTTAGCTATGAGAGCTAATTTTTGACATTCCTCTCGTACCTCTTTTGATGCGTTCTTCCAAGCCGCCGCAGTGTTGGAAGTCAATAACCTTTAGATTGCAGGACCTTGATGTATGCAGTCCTGAATATTAAAAAATTATTTGGGGGCCTGGTCGGCTTTCCCCCGTCTAGGTTTGGCCAACAAATCGTCGTCCTCTAATTTCAAAGGTAAGGATACCAAAATATTTTGCGGTATAACCGCGTTCTCATGGTAGTGAACGAAATCTAATTTCATGATTATAGATGATTATTTTTTTGCTGTTTGTTTTAAAAGATATATTTATTTATATTTTATTTGAGAAAGGAAATAATTTTTTTTTACTAATAGGAAATTTTGTTGTTTGTTTGGGAAAATATATATTTTATTATGAAGTAATTTTCTTTTTTTTTTTTTGGTGTGAATTTAACGTTTCATAATTAATAACTGAAAATTCATTTTTGTGAATTTAACGTTTTTCCATACGTTAATTATGCTTAATAACTGAAAATCTTTTGTTCACAACATGATGCATATAATTCATGATGCATGCATGTGGCGCAGGTTAGAAACACAATAAGTAACTAAGTAAATAATAAATAAAGTTCTATATAATGAATAAAGTCACAAAATTGATTTTTTTTAAAAAAAAACAATTATACCGTTATACGTAGAACTAAAGTTAAAGAAATTTTCGATTATCGTACATGTAAAAAAACTTCCAGGGGAAATTTTCAAGTCGTAACCCGACATATTTTTTTTTAATACAAAGAAATTAAACCCTATTGAAATTTAATTTGATTTGATTTGATTTGATTTGGTTTTTAATGATTTTAATGATTTTTAAAATAATCATATATATTTATAGAAAGAAATCAGTATTATATATATAAAATATATAATTTATATATTTATATTGAATTCTTAATTGGTGTCAATTCAGTTTTATAATTACGAATTTGTACATTCCAAAATTCGCGTAATTACAAATAACATATATTTAGAATATTAAAAAGACTTCAACGAAAAAGACGATGGACAGGTTTAACAATTTGGTTTACCAGCCAAAGTGATAATTTAATTATTATAATAGTAAAAAATATATAGATTTTTTTTTAAAGCAACACTTGTTCAATTTACTAAGATGATTTGATAATTTGTGATAATTTAAAAATTTTAATTTAATGAACATTTTAATAATATTTGATTATTTGATCAAAAAAAATTACTAGACGCAGTTTTTATTCATTACTCTTATTCAATAATGTTAACAAACAATTACAAAATATTTTTATGCAGATACTGTATACCACATACACATTGAACCTACATCGTGAAACGTCACGTATAACATATATATGTAATGTACCGTAACCTACTAACATATATTATATACATACAGTATATATATATATTTATTTTATTTTTAGTTTATTTTTAACGAGGTTGAATCCTGCGCTTCCTTTCTTGTGGTCTTCTTGGACGATACCTATATTCAGGGTATTTTTTCATACAGTATGTTCTTGCTTTGCAGCGTCTGCCATTTTTTGAAATTTCATACGAATTTCAGCTGGATCTTCATGCCACATTCTACCAATCTCTTTATGAAACTTCATTATTAGTAATTCCTTGATGACTGGCTACGATACCAGGTTGTTTAGCTCTACGATATAAGATGAAAGCATTTGGTGGTCTTGGTGGTTTCTTAATCTTTGTTCTAGCGTTTGATGATGCAGCCTTCCGGCTACACCACATGGAAGAGTGAATGAGGGAGACGTACATCAGTATCAGGTAACATTCTAGGAACATTAGGAGCTGCTGATACAGGTTTCGCATTCTTCAATAAATTCGTTACAGTTGAGCTTTGGCATCGTTAGGAACTAAAACAGGTTCAAAACCCTCAGGGATGAAATACAAGGTACCCTTATTTTGTTCATATAAATCTTGAACTCGATCATATGAAACATATTCAAAATTTGGAACTGGATTACCACCTTTTGTAATTTTTACTCGTGGTTGTTGTGGCATTTGAGGTATGTAAGTATCTTGATCACCATTAGGGAACGTTATTTTGCGGAGTTGTATTGTTACTTGTAGAAATATTTTCGTTGTTTTTACAACCATATCTTTAAGACTGTTAGCTTGTAAGTTTTGAGCGATAGAGGATGTTTTGTAACTGCATTTTTACAGCAAAATATTCTGTCATAATACAACGAAAAACTTTAAAAGAAAGATGACAAGAACTTTTCAAGTTGTCAATAAATACTTTGACACCAGGACGGAAAATGGTGTTAGGGACTTTCAGTTTTTTTTTTTTAATGAATGGACACACTTGAAAAAAAATTTAGGGTATAATTATATAAAAAAAAAGGTTAATGATATTATTCTATATATGTATATATATATAATAACAATATATTTAAAAAATGGAAAAAGTAAGAAAGAAAAGGGAGGAATATATAACAAAGTTAAACTATCATGTAATGTAATAATATCACATAAAAATTATATATATATACAGTATATATTAGATAACTAGATTAATTTGCGTCAATATAAATAAATTCGCTTGGGTATAAAAATAGCATCCTGCTCAAGTTCTTAAATGTTATTCTTACCTTTCTTGTCTTCAAGCTAACAATGAATAAATTGGATTTTAAATGAAACTATTATCGTACTGAAACCCGATACTTTTTTTGGCAATAAGAGCGGCGCAGTTTGATCTTCATGTCAAGTGTTGTTGCACATTTCTTTACCTATTTTGGTAATTAACATGTGACGTTATTTTCAATAACGACCAATCGAGTAAAAACAAAATGAAATAATAATTTTTAATTTTTGGTTCCATTATGAAAAATGCGAAAAATGCCGATTATTTTGATTATTTTAAAATTGATATGACGTAGATAATACAGGCAAATATACTAGTATATATATATATATACACGTATAAGTAATACTTCTGAAAACAAAGATATTATTGTAAAAATTTGATGCAATGTTTAACAGATAAAAATACGTATTTCTTGTATATTTATGTTTTTTTTTGTTTTGTATACTGTATATATATATTAAAAAAAATGGTTCATTTATCAAAATTTTATAAAAAGGGTTCGGAATTTGCAATGAAAAAACTTGCGTAATTTATTTCGTTATTCGCAGTATATATAAATTCAGTGTTGGCAAATGACCTTGAAATGACCTTTAAATGACCTGATTACGTCATGATTTTACTATGAATATATCACGTGATCATATACGAAATGCAAAATTTGCCAACACTGGTATATAATGTCTCATAAACAAAGTTGAACGCATCCGTATATCCAAAAAATAAACTTTTATAATAGCAAATGAATTAGGAGAAACCCCCAAAAACTTTGTTATAATTGTGAAGAAACGATTGATTGCGTTAAATTAGTTTCCAACAAAGTAAATAAGATTGAGGAAATTGTGAATAATTTTAAAAACATTAAAAAGAAGCCTGAAAAGCTTTCTAAATTTAATGCAAAATTTACCTTAAATAATGTTCCCTGCGAATTGGAATACGACCTATCAAGTTTTACTTTAGAAAATCTACAAAAACTTGTTGCTATTACTACACAATTTACAATCCTAATTCTCCCTCAAATAATTCTCCCTCGAGCAATTCTCCCTCAAGCAATTCTCCCTCAAGCGATGATGTTTCTGAATCATCTAACTGAAAATAAATACGAAACTTTTATTATTCTAATCTTTACAAATTAAATAATTAGCAAAATCTTTCTTTTGCTATTTTTAACAATTTATCGTTATTATATTTTCGTTTCAAATTTATTTTTTTTAGTTATTACCGTAAAAAAAAGCCAGAATTAATATTTTGTGTATATTTTTAAAGAAAATTTATAATATTAATAGTTAAAAATGTCAATAGAAAAAGGAGTGGAACCAATGAAATTGAACAGAGATCAAAGAATATTTACTCCGTGAAATAAAAATACAGATCTGCAATACGAAAAAAATTTTAAAAATAGTTTGTTGTGATTGAAAAAAAAAATGAGATAGCCGAATCATTTTCGACATATACATAAACAATTTCGATAATCTACATAACGTGAAATTTTTATCATAGTATCTTAAATAATTTCTTAATAAACCTTAATTCATAAGATTTGTGTTTGTGATAAATTATTTGAAAATATTTTTTCTAATTGCCCGAGAGTCGATTTTGCCTTGATAAATTAACAGTGATTATTACGATATTTAGAATATGAACTATATTTTTGAATTAATTATGTAGGTTTCTAAAGATGTATTCTAATTCGTTGCTTAAATTAAATTTTGCATTGAAGATAGAAAATTGATTAACCTTATTCTGTTTTATGGGATTTTTATGAAAATTGTCAATGACTTCTTCTATTTTATCGCAGTCGTTCGTTTCCTTACAGTCTGGACAAAGTTTTTGAGATTTTCTCCTAGTTCTCATGTTACTTAAATTGTTTTTTTGAACATATGGAGTTCTTTGTTCGTGATCATTTTTTGATGACATTATAAAACGATTATAATAATAACGATAAATTGTTGGTTACCCAAATCAAAATAGCGAAAAAACTAATCTCTTAAAAAGTTGTTTAAATAGAATACAACGAAAAAAGAGGCTTACATAATAAATAAACGAAGTAAAAAGTAAAATCAAAAAAAAAAATTTAGATTTTCAACGAGATTTTGCAAAGGTTATCCGAATGCAATGAGAAAGAATAGTGAAGTTTTGTATTTCACTTTTCAGTTAGATAAATTGTGTAGTAATAGCAACAAGTTTGCTAAAGTAAAACTCGATAGGTCGTATTCCAATTCACAGGGAATATTATTTGAGTAAATTTTGCATTAAATTTAGAAAGCTTGTCAGGCTTCTTTTGAAGGTTTTTAAAATTATTCACAATTTCCTCAATCTTATTTACTTTGTTGGAAACTAATTTAACGCAATCAATCGTTTCTTTACAATTATAACAAAGTTTTTGGGGTTTCTCCTAATTCATTTGCTATTATAAAAGTTTATTTTTTGGATATACGGATGCGTTCAACTTTGTTTATGAGACATTTGATATTGCGAATAACGAAATAATTTATGCAAGTTTTTCATTGCAAATTCGAACCCTTTTTATAAAATTTTTTGATAAATTAAGCCATTTTTTTAATATATATATATATATATATATATATATATATATACAAAAAAAGAATAATTATACTGTATAAGAATACGTATTTTTATCTTTTAAACATTGCATCAAATTACAATAAAATATCTTTTGTTTTCAATCATCAAAATCAGCAGTATTTACTTATCTGCGTTTTAAAATAATCAGAACCAAAAATTATTATTTTATTCAATTGGTCGTTCCCAAATTTTAATTATGGAAGTATATTAACGTTTATCAACAAAGTAGCCACAACGTACAATGCAGGAGATTTTATTTTTAAAACTTCACGCAAACAAAAAAAACCGTAAAAAATTTGTTACACAGTATATTTTGATATATACTATAAGTTTTCTGAATCGAAAGGTCTGTTTCATTAATTTGGATATATTAATTCTCTAGTAAATTTTCCGATTATTTCAATTGCCATTTTTGGTTTTGGGGCGTCTAAAGAGAGTAGTCACGTGATCATGGGAAAAACTCATTTTTTCGTAATATAACTATTTAACATATGCATGGCTTTTAAATTAACTTATAGTAAGTGCATTTTAGCTTGCTCCGCAAGTTTACTTAGAGCACAAAACGAGGTTTTGAATACCGTTTTTGAGTTATTTGACTTTTTTTTCGTTAAAATGAATCTAACCATTTTTGGATATGATCAGCAAATTTCATTCGTTCATATGTCAAAATTCACTTTTTTTCCCCTAAGTAAACTTGCAGAGCAGACTAAAATACTTTATCTTATTATTTTCAAGTTCATATTAATCTTAGTTTGTAAAAAAATTGTCTAAACATATAATGTTAAAAATCACGTGACTACCCGCTTTAGACGGCCCGCAGAGCCAAAATCCCTATAAAAAAGAAATAACAAAAGGTCTTTTTTCTTCTTGTTTACGCCTGTTCTTTGATAACATGCCATATTCGAACAAGCATTATTTAGATAAAAAAAGCTCCGAATTTTAGGTAACTAATGCAATGTTTGACAGTGTCTGAGAGAAAATTTTTTTAATTATGTAACACATTAAAGCTACATAATCATTTATAATCAATTTTCATAAACTAAAATCGTGCAAGATAATCAGATCATATTTTCCATTCTTAATGGAATTAAACAATGAAAGATTTGATTATCTAAAGGCATGATTTTATCATGTGATCGGTGTAACATTTCTCGTGATTTTTTTTATTTTTTTCCATTATCTAAAAATAAAAAAAATAAAATACTGCTGCCGAATCCTGCCGTCATTTATCCGTCTACTCCGGCACATGATTAACCTTTTTTTTTCAATATTTTAACCTAAATAACAAATATAGACCTTTATAATAATGCATCATTCTATACATGACAGTATTTACGTATAGTGCCATTTGATGGTAAAAGAAAAATATAGGCTCCTAGTTTAGTTGGAATTCTTTTTTTTTTATATGTGTTCGCTTCTCTAGTTAGTTGGGTTTTTTACCTAGACTAATAGCGTAGTATCTATTTTTTCTAGTGTCTCCTATCAAAGGGTGGGTCTCGTGTCAGGGATCATTTTAAACTAGATAGTTTATTTTTGTATTAATTTGTACAAATTACTATTTTTGTAAATGACTTTGGTAACCAACCTTTTGGAAATAAAATAAATAAAAAAATAAAAGCCATGTTATTTCGTACAAAAAAAAAAAAAGTTCATTATTTTCATTCGTTTCTTTTACGATGTCATCAAAAAATTATGAACCAAGAACAGGCGGAGTGCCGTATGTTCAAAAATTAAACTATGCAACAACAACAAAAAAACTACGAGAAAGCCAACAAAATTATGATCTAATTGTAAAGAGGAGAAAGATGGTGTTAGCTTATTTTCAAGTAAATCGGACTGAAGAGATCGCTAATACTGTAATTGTCATAAACATTCAAAAAAGAAGATCGAACAAATTTCTAAATTCAACACTAAATTTACTTTAAATAACATACCTGTGAATTGGAATATGATTTATCAAATTTCACGTTAGAAAATTGGCGATTTTCACAACCCAAAATTGCGATAATAATAATAGTTATAAATAAAGGTAAACATCCCTATTAAATAAAAAGAATTAAGTAAAGTAGTACTGTACAGTAATACAAATTCGGACGGACGTTAATCCTTTTTGTTCGTGTACGTTTCTAACAGATAAATGTTTTTATACTAGTACGTACGAATGCTTTAAAAATTTTCGTACGACTTTGAATTTTCGTACATGTTTTGTTTTTTAATAAAATACTTCATGTTAAAAAATATAAATATATCATTTATACTCTTTGAAGATAAGCTTATAAATTTCTATTTCTTTAATAATTGTCAGCTCTATAATAATAAAATTGACTAATTAAAAATAAAACTAAATTTTTTATTGATTTATTTAATAATTACTACAAATTCTTTATCATACTTTTTATTTTATATATAAATTAATACAATCATATTTAGCATTAGCATTTGCAAAATATAATTTTGGCAGCATGTACAAATTACAAAAAAAATATACAGTACAAAGATTAAAAAGAGATATTTATGACAAATACATAATAAACAAAACGTTAAAATCATTACATTACAAAATATATAAATTAATCAGATCAATTATGTTACTCAAATATTATGTAATTGTAACATTTTCATTCTCGAAAGTTCTATCACATGATGCTACGATGTAAAATTATTAGTACGGAAAATCAAATTTTACTTTTAATAGTCCGTCTGAGTACGGAAAAATTAAAAAATTTTTTTCGAACGTCTTATTACCGTACAGTACTAGTTTACTAGATGAGTTATGTACAAAAATGTCGGAATCTTGACATCTTATAATCAAATTTCATTTATATAACTCAGAATTGCTGTAATATAATGTAACTCATAATCAAAATAAGTTTTTTAATCGAGCATCCTTATCCTGGGCCACGGTCCAGATGCTTATCCTGGACCAGCAAATCTAATTGGATGAGATTGTTTTGTGTAACATTTGTCTTGGAAAAAAAAACAATTCGCGTTTTTTTTAAAAAAAAAGTTACGAAATGCCTTTTTTTAAAGCATTTAATACTATCGTTTTAAAGTAATATGTTATTTAAAATTTGTATTTTGGTATGCATTTTATTAAACTTTATTAATAAATAAGTAAAATTGCATATATAACTTTATAAAAAAGGTCTTTACATTATTTTTTACTGTAATTTTATTATTAAAATTATTTTAACGTTAATATCAAAACAAAAGTACAAAGTAATAGTATTATATTAGCTTTAAAAGTTTTGTTATAAATGTGTAATTTACAACCTTTTTTGAACAACTTTGCTTAACCCCAAAACTTAAAAAAAAAAACACTTGATTTCCAGAATAATATCAATATATCATAAAACTCTTCAAAAAGAAAATAAAAAACATTTAGTATTATCATAAAACTACAATAAATACAATTAAAATTAAAATATACAAACTGAAATGAAATATGAAATACTAAGTACTAACATAGAATAGAGAAAGAGTGAAAGATAGGAAGAGTAAGAGATAAAATAAATTATGCCGGAGTTATGTAATAAAAGGGCTGATTAGCCAATCAAAAGTTGACTGGTCCAGAATAAGCATCTGGACCAGTGGATCAGGTTAAGGATGGCCTTTTTAATCACTCCTTATTCTTCACCCCTAATTTCAACACAGATTTTTTCACGTGATGACGAACATTTTTGTTATCAGAGCAACCATGTGATGTCCCAAAACCTTACCATCGGAGATCATCGTTGGTACAGTCTTAAGGCATTATTAGATTGGGCCGATAATTTAGGCCGATGGTAAGGTTTGGGACATGGTCAAGTTTGGTCCAAGAGGTACCTAAGTACTATATGCTAAAATAACTGACTAAAACCGCTCTCCCCATAAGTGGCCTACCCTTCGAAGCCAATAAAAGTGATCTATTGGAGAGCCAAAGGCCATTATATCATAGCAGCGTTGCACAATTACCTTCAATTTTGATATAGAACTGAAACATGATCTCACAAATGTACAGGTCATAATAGAAACCACTTTTAAATAAGATGTATTAAATACATAATTTGATAATTTTTTTCAATATTATCCATTTGATAGTTTTTTTGATAACTGAAGACCAAATAATACTGCATATCTTTAACAATTTCCATAACTATTTGAATTTTTTTTTTTAATAAAAACTGAGATGAAAGAGAAATGATAAATCAAAAATAGGAAACGATTTTTTGAATTTTTGAATCAACCTTTTTTTATTACGAGAATAGTAATTTTCTAACAAAAAAAATAATTTAAAAGAAAGTTAGTTTCATCTATACTAACTAACAATATATAAAATTATCTGGGAGGTT